GCATTTTAATGCGGTTTACCTAAAGATGGTTGAACTTTAACGTTTCATTCAGTGTTAGTTGTTTTATTTAATTTTTGATTCTCCCTGTTTTGCTTCCTTAATTGCAGATTAAAACAGATGTTGAGACACAAGGAGATTTTATTAGGTTTTTGATCAAAGAAGTAGAACATGCTGCATTCACAGACATTGTGGATGTTGTGCCTTTTGTTAAATGGCTCGATGACGAGCTCTCCTACTTGGTAAACTTCTTCTTCAGTTATTATTTTAAGTTCGTTTCATTATCTAACATGTGAAATTGTATATGTTTGGTCAATCAATTTGATGACTTGAAGTTTTTTCAGGTTGATGAAAGGGCTGTTCTGAAACACTTTGAATGGCCTGAACAAAAGGCTGATGCATTGAGAGAAGCTGCATTTGGATATTGTGATCTAAAGAAACTTGAATCTGAGGCATCATCCTTTCGTGATAATCCTAGACAACCATGTGGCACAGCTCTTAAGAAAATGCAGGCCTTATTTGAGAAGTACGAATTTGCTCTATTATCGTTATTATTATTATTATTAAAGCTCTAAAATAATTAATGAGAACTTGCATTTGTTAAGGAAATATGTTTATTAAGTAGTGATTGATCTCTGTTCTTATGTCAATTACACAGATTAGAGCATGGAATTTACAATCTGTCAAGAATGAGAGAATCAGCTACAAAAAGATATAAGGTCTTTCAAATCCCAATTGAGTGGATGCTGGATACTGGTTTTGTTACTCAGGTAATTAATAATTCTCTTGTCTCCTTTATGATCTCTTCTATAGTAGAGTAGCTGTTTGATGTATTTTTCCTATTGATGTTCCACATAGGGGAATGTCTTCCAATATGTTAACTTTCACCAATGACCTCAATTCGTGCCGTCTTTACTGGTAGCACCTCTTTTGATGCCTATACATTTTTTACTGTATTAAAAAGAAATACTAGGACAGTTCCCAACACGCCCTAGGAAATGATGCATAGAGCACTACTAAAGCTAGTCCTATCTAAATTTCTTCATACTTTCCTCTGCTCTGCAAAGCTGTGTTAACACAATGTGTGGTTTCTACTTCTCGTGGTATAATTCCGTACTTCGTGCTGAAAATCAATTACTGTATCAGATATCTTGCTATTTCTTTATCATAGGGTTATGACTAGAGGAAAAACAATATAATTGAAGATGGTTCTTGGTCTGTACCGCGGATGTTTCCGTTGATTAATGTATAGACAAAGGAAATAGCATGGGATAAAATATACTCTGTATTATTCTATTAGAGTGTGTTACTAGATGACAGAATTTTTGGGGAAGTTCTGCATTATTAATATGCCCATGCCTGCATGAGCACATGTCAAGTCTCTGTTCTCCAAAACATATTTGCTTGTCTGCATCCCTTTTTATGCCAGTGTTTGGTGGTAGTAAGTAGAAAAAAGGAATCAGATTCTTAATGTTGACCTTTTATAGATCCCTATGATTTTTATAATGTCACACTAAGATAGAAATCTCCCTATGATTTTTTAATCTATATCTTCATAAGGCAAATTAAAATATGCCTCCAGCAGGAAGAAGTTTCATAATTGGCAAAAACTTGCTTAAAATTTTTCCACAATATACATTACCCCTTCGTGTGGCGGGTAATCCGCTAAGCTGAGTTGGGTGGGGACCCAATGAAAAAATTAATTTTCCTTCTGAGATTTTAGGTCAATTATTGGGCATATCAATTTATGTTTCTGCATAGTGATATGGGCATCTATGAAATCTAGTCTGTTGGTCTTTTTCTTGCAAGATAATATAATTAAGAGCAGGCAGCCAGAGTTCACAGACATTCTGCTTGCCTGCACAATTACTAGTGTTTCACTGTTATGTGGGGCAAATCTTTGTAAATCGTGTGGTCTCAAATTTTGTACTATGCTGCTGTTTTGATTGAGAAATATTAACACAAAGAAAGAGACCTGGTAATAACGTGATGTGGTTGTGTTGTTTTATTTTTGCATTATTGCAGATCAAGCTGGCATCAGTAAAATTAGCCATGAAGTACATGAAGAGGGTATCTGCAGAGTTAGAAATGGTTGGTGGTGGTCCTGAAGAAGAAGAACTTATAATTCAAGGCGTTAGGTTCGCCTTTCGAGTACATCAGGTAAATAATAGTAACAACATGCAAGAGTAGTTGTTTGATCACATGCTCTTTTGTACAAGTAATAATTAAATGTGTTTTTTTTTTTTTTTTTGTACAGTTTGCGGGTGGTTTCGACGTGGAGACAATGAGGGGATTCCAAGAGCTGAGAGACAAAGCAAGATCATGCCATATACAATGTCAAAATCAGCAACACAAATATGTTTGCAAATCTACACCTTGCTAATTCAATATCTGTAGCAAACTCAGCTTCAGAATGCTGTTATTTTTGTTGTATAAAAAATGACATCACCAATGTGAATGTGAATATGCTTAAACATTTATTAATTTATTCATAATTCGTGTGAAAATGGACCTCTCTATCAGTTCAATAACTTGTCCTTATGTGTATTAACCTGTTAACAGTGTTTTAATCATTTAATATTCCTCGGTACCATACATAGAAGCCTTGCTTCGATTATATGACTTAAAAAAAGGTTCAGACGAAGATGTGTATAAATATGAGCTTGCATTCTTATCAGTACATTTTCATTTTGCACAAGTAAAATTGGCTTATGTTATCTTTGATCCCTCAACATATAGTATAACTTGTAGGAGCTATCGAATGATTATGAGGAGAGCACTTAGACAATTCACTTGCACCATTTCAAATTCAAGTTTCTAATTTATAATCTACTTTTTTTTTCTTTTCCCATTTTGGTAAATTAAAGCTAGAAGATACATTTTCTTTGTGCTTTCTTCTTGAAAGGGGAGAAAGGAGAGCAAGATAAAGAAAGTTGTGTCTTTTATTTCTTTGCAAACTTGAAACAACTGTAGATTTTTACAACTTTTTTTTTCATTTAATTTTTGGGTAGGTAAGGCAGGGGAGTGAAAACGTCTCGAAAGAATCAAATTATTTTAAGAGTTTTCTTTTCATTAATGCCCAATATTTGAAATCACAAACATTGCAATTTTTATTTTATCTTTTTCCAAATTTTAAAATAAAAAAGCATGGGAAAATTGCATAGGTATGTTTCTGCTCTCATTCCAAATTTATAAGAAAAAGAGCTGGGTACTTTTACTTTCTGGGTTCACTTCTTTAACAAATAAGTGCTGTCCGTTGTACTAATTAAAGTGAAAATTATACTCAATAAAAATTTGTAACTGTACGTAAGTAGTAGCATGGTCAGAAGATAACATTCGTGGAATTAAAACTTATTCTTGTTGGTTACTAGTCTTGCTTAGGAATTTGTAATCAAGATTAAATTTATAATCTTGAGATTGTTGTAGAAAACATAAACTTCAAATCATGAATCCGTCTATGGTCAAAGGATTTTACCTTTCCTGTTACACTTACATCAGTTGGAGAAAACATATCATGGCATTATAGGGAAATGGTAAATTGGAAGATTAAGACCTGTTTGGATGGACTTATAAAAAGTAACTTATAAGTAAATAAGTAGATGGTACTCTTCTTTTAAACTTATTTTAAAACTTTTTTGGCCTAAAAATAGGTGCTTTAAAACACTTATAGTAACACCTCCAAATTTAAAAAAACTACTTAAAAGTCAAAATGACCTAAAAATAAGTTAATCCAAACGAATAGTAAGTTGTTCAATTTAATTTGAAAATAGTTTTCTCATCTCTTTTATTCTTCTTTCCTCTTGAATTCCTTTAATTTGTTGTACTTGGAGTTGTTGAAGATGCTTGTTACAACAGCTAACCTAGATGTCTAATGGTGCATGTTAGTGGGAGTTGTACTTTCCATTCATAACAGCTGGAGTTGTACAATTACTCTGTTAGATACCGTTTGGATTATAAAATATTAGAGTACATACCCATAGCATTATTTAATCTAAATCAGGAAGCCTAGATTGAATATATATTGACCAATAAATGTGAAATATTACTATAGACAGACCAAAAGATTACACCTAACAACCACATCCGCCTTCTAGAAAGAGTAATACTCATGATTAAGTAGGCCTCAAGCAAAAACCAAACTAATTACACAAACGTTGAATCAAAAAATGACATTTAACAACTTTCCCTGTATATATTATTGCAATTCTTTCCTAATTTGTAACACTATAAAGCTACTATTTACAACTTCATTTCTGAAAATTTTCCAGTTTGTTGCACGCCATATGTGGTAAATATGCCCTCCATATTGCAGCAACATTTCAGCTAGGTTAGTTACTGGTTACAAATTAGTACATATATATAAAAGAGAGGAAGCATGGCTCAACTGTTTTGTTCATGTTCATGCAGGATCTATGCCTGGTTTTTCATTCTAGTAGATTAATATGGAAGTTCCTTAGCCTCCTCTTTAACAATCGTAACAGTGAAATCAGTCTTTCCTAAGATATTTGTTCCTTTTGCTTTCTAACTGAAAAGCTTTTTTTTGGGACTAGTCAATAGGATATGGAGAAACTATTGTACAAATAATTTGCTTGCTCTATCACTGGTTGCAGTTGACAACTTTGAGATGTCTACCAACTTACATATCTTGTTTTTGGTTGCTTATCATGTTTTTGATAGTGGAAGAATCATGAATATTAAGGTTGTAAATGGTGGGTTATATGCTCCCACGGCGTACAAGTTGAAGAAATGGAAGATAAATTGATGATCTCCATATCTAAATGCTGCTATTTATGTTGGTAACCTATCTTTCTTCTCCTACTGTCTCAAAGTAAGTTCCTTCTTCTTTTTTTACTTCATCTGCAGATGAGATGAAAGTCAATGGAGTTCATTACTTTTACTTGTGATTTCCATAATATGTACTTGTTTCTTGTTTACACACTCGAGTACACAATGTTAACATTTGGTGGAGCAATGCAACTTCATCAAAATGTTGCAAATCTTAGTTGTGAATCATAAAACTGACTTACACATGAAATTCTATATCTGGATAAGAAACTTTTACATTTACTAGGACTCAATCCAGAGATTACTTGTTATTGCTTAACAAAATGAAAGCTGGAAACTTCAAGCTAGTAATTAGAAATTAACAGAACCTCTACTTATTACATCTAAAAGCTATTGTATCAAACTATGAGCAGTTAAAACTAATCTGAAGTCTTCATCCTCAGAGAAGAACTGCTGCTGCATAAACAAGCTGGCTCCAATTGTTAAGAAGTCCAGGAGTACTGCGCCAATGTTCACTTGATTGCTGGCTGTTTTGAGCTGAAGGTCTTCACATACGTCCACAAATGTACAGTTAATTTAACTTTTTTAAGTGGAAAGGAAGAAGATTAAAAGGAGAAAATTATATGAGGTTTTTCATCCTCACATAATTAGTGATGCATAAAGAAGCTGGTTCCATGTATCAGGTAGTCCAGGGAGACACCAGTGGCTGCAATCTACACCAGGGTGATCACCGCTGTACATTGATGGATGAGCATCTTTCCTTAACTGGGAGAGAAACGTGATATCGAGGAGATGAACTGGTGTCTTCATCCTACTTAGTACTTTGTTAACCACAATAGCTGATGCTGGTGTCCCTGCTGGATATGTCGATCCTGCTAATGGTATTTGCTCTGAGTTGCAATTCTTTGTTGATGCCCCCCATTCCTGACCCCTGATCATGATACAACAGAACATGAATTTTGAGCTTCTTAAGAAAATAATTATATTCAGTCAAAGTTAGTGGTTAGTTATACGCGCTGCTACTTTCTCTAGGTTACCAACTATATATGTTGCTCAAACTCGTCAAAAGAATTGTTGTGTGTATTGAATCGTCTAAAAGCTATGTGTTTGTTTTGGATCCGACACTTTTCAAGGGTCTAGGTTATACCATTACATACTTTTGAGTTAGTTGATCATGTGAGTTGTTTTTAAACTATCGGTATATAGAATGAGCATTTATTTAGCAAATGAAGAAGTGTAGCACTTACATATAATGAGTTGGAGAAATGCCCTGGAAGAAGACTTTGGTCTTAGAGGAGTCAACATTTCCATCAACCCATCTTGCCCAAGTAGTTAGACCTTTGTAAAATGCCATTAAACGGTCCATATCTTTCGATACTTTCATACCATCTTGCACATAATCCCATCTACAAAAAAATATGATTCAGTTACTATAGTTTTTTCCACACGTTGACAATACAATTAAAATAATAAAAGTGTACTCTTTCTAATAGTTTAAGCTTTTAAATGAAATAATCACATACTTTAACATAGTATTAGAGAATCAGACCCACACATGTTGAATACACAATTAAATATTAAAAGTGTGCTCAAAAAAGGGATCATACGGTTGAGAGTTGCCCTTGTGAGTCCACCAATGCCAAGAATTGAAAATTAACATATCCATTCCTTTCCAAGCATCACCTTGTTGAATGGCATCCAATTTCAATACCCTTCCAATCTTCTCTCTTACTATATCCACAAGGTAAGTTGTTCGATAAAGGAATAAAGTAACTCCATAATCCTGCAGGAAAAAAAGTGACAAAGTGTATCAAAAACTATAGCGGAACACCCTTATTTTTATTCTATAAATATGAGTAACAAGTTGGCAACAAAATTGTCAGAAGCTTTTATAGCAAAGATATGATTTTTGTTGTTAGGTTTGAGCCTCTTTTAGAAGATGTGGCTAAGACCAAAGGTGAATAACTTATGCTCTGACAACCAAAAAAAAGTTGCAATAAAACTAGCCTTCAAAGATTGGACCTACCAATGATTATGACAATGTTTTGGCCAAGTAACACCAATAGATAATTATTTTTGGGAAGTGCTAAATGGCCAAAAAATTTAGCCAGAAAATTTAAAAAATTATAATATTTTTTTAATTTTAAAATAAACTAATCTTTTTTCTATTTTTTAGTTAAAAGATATTAAAGTTAAAAAGGTAAAAATATTTTAAAGTAAAATAACATAGATAAATTATCATTCTGGCCAGAAAGATTTTTTCATTATTTTTTTTCTCTTGTACAATCATTTTTTGCTGCCCTAATGGTTTCTTGTAAATGCAACAACTACAACTAGATAATAAATATGAAGATTGAGTAGGTCGACATAGACAACTAGACCTCTTGAACATTTTGAAGGGTCGATAACAAAAGCAAATTCAGGATATGAAGTTTTTCAATTCTAGTTTTGATGATTGCTCGCTTGCCACCAACACATATACAAGATCTAAGCTAAAATTACGAGGAAAGATCAGATTGGTGAACATGGAAAAGGGCTAAGCATGCCTTTCACTAGTTCACGGGTATACTGCTATTAAAGACATGACAAATAAAATTCTTTTCCGTCTCCTTTCCAAGTTTTTTATTGGGAGCCTAAAAAGTCAACTTTTTTTTCTTTGTGGTCTTTGGCTACCACAATTCTCAATTTTTTTTTCCATATCTTATTTGTAGTATTATATTAATGATTGATGTCGCATTGTTTTTTTAATCTTTTCTATCCACTGTTCTACATCTTATTTGGATCTTGGTTGTCCCCTCCTTCAATATTTGTCAAACAAAAGATATAAAATTGGAGAAAACAATTTTTCTCCTTAACAACTCTATTGTCTGTAATATATGAATCTTGTACTAATTGCAGCCTCATAATGTAAAACAAAAAAAAAGAGAGAAACCAAGGTAGAGCATGTGAAAACACACACATATTTGTGTATGCATGTGTTTTTGCTTTGTGACAACGCTTAAATTATGGAGTATATTAAAACGTATACTGTTTTTTTATGTTCTCAATAGAATTTAATTTATTCTAGCAAGTTAATTTCCATTTTCATAAAGCTACAAATCAATATCAATACCGAGGTTATCATTCATACATGATTGCGAACAACTCAACATACGAAGGATCTATCAAAAACACCTCTTTATCCCATACAAAATAGATATAAGGTCTGAGTACACCTTATTCTTTCCAAAACTTACTTGTGAGATCTTATTGATATGTTATTTTGTTAATTATGAAAATTTTCATACTCAAAAAGGCTATTGCTTTTTGGTTTAACTATTTGATATTAATTTTATTTTTTATTTTTAAAACTTATAACTCGAGACTTCGTAATTAAGAATGAACCCATCAACTATTTACTGTCGCCGTATAGCTAGACTCTTTTTTCACCGATTTCATCATTTTCGCAACAACCAACATCATGATCCACTACAATTATAGTAATAACGTAACGTATATGTTGTTTTAACAGTTGAATTCAACATCATCAAATGATTACAAAAATCATTCTTTTGTCATAAAATACTTCAATTAAAGATTTTTCACACTCGATCAAAAACAGTTTAAAATACTATAGCAAAAGATTGTTATTCTTTTCCTTTTCCTTTCCCCCTTTTCCTTCTCTCGCTAGAGTTTCTACCTAAACAATTTTACTTATGAATTAACAGAAACTTTCTTTTCTCATTTTTCCATTCAATTCCCTTCTGAGAATTTACTCAAGTTCTTCAAATTCCCATCTCTTCAACCACAAAGTTAATATTCCCTCCGTCCCATTTTAACCGTCGTTTAATGTTATCCATTTTGATTTTGAATTGACGACACTTATTTTGAGATAATTGTTTTAAAACTAAAACTAGGAGAGAGCAAAACCTGAAAAGTGAAATCAAGAAAACCAAAAACACATAGTAACAGAAGAGAGCAAATTAAACCTGAAAAGTGACAGAAGAAAGTGTCTCCTGCCTAGAAATTGTAGTTTTGGCATTGGGCACCGACGCATGAAGCATACAGGCCAGGGAATTCCACATGTTCAAACTCAACGAGTCACCAATAAACATTATTTTTTTCCCTGACCATCTCTGCAAGAAATCCTTCCCATTAAACCTGTAAAATTAAAAATAAAAATCTATTAGTAAATCATTACACCATAACTAATTCAGATGAAAATTTATCGACTAGTTTTACACGGACGGTCAATCTATTACAACTCCCCAAGTAATACAAACAAGAGGAGTTGTACTCGACAATATTAAAACAGAGGAAAAACTTCTCTGTTTCTTCAAAATGTGTTGCGTAAGTCAACAACAACATAATCAGTGTAATCTCACAAGTAGGATCTGTGTCAGATGATACGCTCACAACCTTACCTTTTATGTTGTAAGTCTATATTGCAAAAATAAGAAAAAAAGATTGGAAGAAGGAGCATTAAAGAGTACCTGGGCATGTTACAAGAATCAGGTTTCCAAGCATATTTGAGGTATTGCTTATCAGGGCGACCATATTTGAGGCAATCAAATTCAGGGTCAATGAAAGGGCAAGTTGAGGAGTCATAAAGAGGAAAAGAAGGGTCAATTGCCCATCTACCTTGAAACAAGTTGCACTTGCTATTGCTTACAACCCCTTTGTTTTCCCAACTATGGCCACTCAAATTTTGTACTATAAGCTCTGCTCTGCCAGTATGTAAGAAGAGAGAAGTAATGCTACAAACTAAAAGCACTGATTTAATGACCAATTGGCTCCACAGAACCATCTTTGGCTTTTGGTGTGGAAATAATTGAGGGAACTACTAATGAGGAACTTGTCTTCAAGCTTAATACATTGTCTGCTATATATATATATAATACAAAACCACAACATACATCAAAATCAATTTTCTTTTTTTTCTTAGGGGGTGGGGGTGGAAGGTTCAAGGAGAAGTGGTATCTGGAGATTCCTTGTTAAAAGGATCACATGATGAACGAAAAAGAAATAGTGATGTCCACATTTCTGACGGTCTTAAAAACACTAATTTACTTGTCTAATTAAATTAGATACGCTCTAATCTGTCACATGACATATCAAATGGTCTCAAACTCTTGTAAGAGAACGGAGTTCTTCATAAAAAATCAAGAGAAGTGTTGAAAATACTCTAAACTTGGCAAGAATTTAGGAGTATATTTCTTTCATATTGCAAGATTGGAGTGCATTTAAGTTCAGTTAATCAAATAAAAAATATTTTTAAGATTAACCGTTCAAAAATAAAACTAATAATTTACATCAAATTTAAAAATATTTTCAATACTTTTACTTTTTAAAAAAAAATCAAAGTCTTCGGGTAGAAACAGTGGGGGCATTATGTTTTGGCTCTTTAGCAGTTATATTTATTTTTCTCTTGGTATATACGGAGTAATTCCGTCGGCACAATTAATTAACAGACTTGTTTATTTAATAGACTGGATATATGACATTAATAACTGCGGTGAATACTGGAGATCCCCTGCCTTTAAATTAAACCACATTTAGACATATAATTTATTTCTTTATTTTGTAATTATTGTTTACTTTATTTGAAAATCAATGTTTGACTATGAAAAATCAATATTCAAGCTTATTTAATTTTTTTATTTTTTTTATTATTAGTTGATCACAATCTTTTAATATATATATATTTTTTTACAAAAATCTAATGGTTTGATCCAAAAAGTACAACCCACCAGCACTAAAAAAAATAAAAATTAAAAAACCACCAAAAGAGAATTAAACTAAAATAGAAAAAAACAAAAACAAGAAAAGGAAAGTGGAATAACTGTTTGCAGCTCAACTTCCTCGATGGAGCATCTCATTTTTCTACCCAAAGGAAGCTGAAACTCGATTAAGCGTGAGTATTCTCCAACCTTGATACATCCTGGTATTCTGCCTCTTACATTTCGTTTAAAAGTCATCTCGATTTATCCATAATAAATGATTTCAATTCTTTTGCTTAACTTTCTACTCATAGATTCCAACCTCGTGTAGGCTATGTAGAGATAGTATTGTTGTTAATCCATCAATTTAATCTCAAATTAGTTGAAATTAGTTCTTTTAGATCTAAACTTTGAAAAACAAGTCATAATTTGTTTTGCTAATTTCATCTTCATAATTTAAAATAAATTCTCTCTTCTCTCTTTTGCGAAAAGTATAATTAAATACAACTTCATCTTCAATTTATATTCCTTAAATTATTAAATAAAATAAAAAAATATTAGAAATCTTGATCAAACGCCCCGCCTAAAATTTACAAATTAGAATTCTTGGAAAGTAGATTTTTTCCGAATAAAGAGAGCATTTTACTCTTTATAGTAAATATGTAAATTCTGATTAGTCGGATCGATATATCTAGAGTGTCTAATGCTTAAAGAAAGAAATGTGGTAATATCAACATCTTTTTATTTCTCGCTCGAGTCCAATATTTATATTTGAAGCCCGATTATATTCAGTTTTCGCAACAACAAAAATCCCACATTGAGGTAATATCAGTTTTTGATTGGTTTTACTTGCACGTAGTTTACAATTAGTAATAAAAACACCTAATTCAGCAGCATTTACTACAGAAGTTCGAACTCGTGGTACTGAATTGTCCTGTAGGAATAATAAATATTTGAATTAAATAAAGTTACTGCTAAAAGTTAGTTTACTTTTAAAAGATAAAACCATGATTACATAAATTATTTATGAAAAAAATATAAGTCTTCTCATTTAAGATTACTTTATTTAATTATCAAAAAGCAAAATGGGGTAATCATTTTGGAATATTATGAGTTTAGTGTTGTTGGTATATTTAGAAGCAGAGATTCTAATTTAGTGGAATTGCTTAGTCCGATTATTCCCTCATCAAAAAAGGAAAAAATAGAAAAGCAAAAAGTTACTTTATTCTTTTATGCTCTATTGATAGTTTGAGACTGAAATATAGCAAATCCACGTTCTTAATTAATTAGATTCATTTAGTTTTGTTATTTTATTTTTTAATTTGGGGTGGCATTAAATGAATTTTAAAGATTTATTAATTTGGGGGCACAAGGGGGTTACTTCTAGCAAGTTTACAGCCTATTATAGGTTGCCTATTGGCTATTGCTATCAATATATTGTGTGGGGTGTTGGTTGTTTTGTAGGATAACTTCAATTATTTTCTGGATTAAATGCAACTATTTTATTTTTAAAGATAACGGCTGAAAAACAAAATATAATAATTTATTTTGTTACTTTTAGTATAGTGTATAGGCTCCGCAAAAAAATTTGTTGGGAGGGAAATTCTTAAATGAGTTAGTGTAATTCAGATTTAATTGGAATTTCAATTTTTGAACATTGAGTGAAAAATTAAAAAAAAAGTAGATATCCATCTGATCGTCTTTACTTGTGAGCGTAGTTCATCTTACAAAATCAAAAGTTAATCTATTACTTATTCACTTTGTAACTATTTTTTTTCTTATTATTAAATACTATTTATTTTTAATATTTAAATGATTCATAATTACGGAAGGTGATGCACTAAATTTATTTTCAATATTTAAATGATTCATAATAAAATTATTTTATGTATAAGGTTACATAAATTACCTAGCTAGAATTGTTATTTTCAAATTTATTCATCATAATTTGTTTTACTCTAAATATTTAATATTTGTATAATTAAATCTCAACAAGTTAAATAGAGCAATCAGGTTGAGGCCGTGTGTTGTATATAACAGTGATTAGGGGTGGAGTTAGAGTATGATTTTTTTTTATCAAATTCAATAGTTTTGATTTAAATCTTATATATATCTTCAAAAAGTTCACTGTATATGTTTAATTTATCAATTTGGAACTCAATTACTTTTTATATATAAAAAAATAAATTAGAATTAAAGTTCTTAATCAACTGAGCTATTAAGACCTCCAAACTTCATCTTTCAATATTTTATTACTCTTATAATTTATTTATAGAACGAAAAAGAAAACCTTAAGCGAAAAAAATACGGCAAGATGCATTAAATGAAATAAAAAACCCTAAAACAGAAAAAAAAAATTAATAGAAATTTCTAGTCAATGACTATCTTTTTGGTACCACCAATCAAAAATAGGTAACCAAAGTGGCAAACTTTTCTTGATCATTATGTATCTACTTCTACTATAACACTAGCATGTGTTACATTTATGTGGTCCTACCCCTATATTATATTGTGTTGATAATTACATTACAAGATAAGTATTTTGACCTATACTTCATCCAACATTTAAGATGATTAAAATAATTTAATAGTAAACACTTTAGATGAAGCTTCTCTTTCAAACTGCAATGTGATGTGATTCAACCTTAATTAAGTTAAAATTATAAGTAGGTACGATTTACTATAAGTAAACTAAATATATTTAATTTTCCATATAAGTTAAAGTAGAAATTAAGTTGTTATCAATATTACAATTGATGTAAATATTGAAACGGCTTGGCGTAACTAATTAGCTATGAGTTCATCTAAACCCAATAATGTCAACACCAACAACTTTTTAGGAGTCAGATAGGGTTGGAACCCTATACAAGGGGCTGCTTGTTGCTCGCCCCTATCTCTAAAGTGTATGCACTTCACTTGTTACCACTAATTAAACAATGAAGCCAGGAGCGGAAGGAGGGACTTGAACCCTCAACCTCAGCCTTGGCAAGGCCTATGCTCATCGTAGGCCTCATAGTACCCACATAGTGGAGCTTTTCGGGCCGAAAATCTGTTCGACTTCAGAATCGATATATATATATAAAGGTTACCTTTAATATTTGATGAGATTCTTATCCCAAAAAAGAGCTTGTTATTGGAGTGACTGACTCATCAATCCTCTAGAAAAGGACCATATGCTTCAGTGATTCCTAAAAGAAAAATGTTAACTTTAGGATAGTTGACGAAGCATCTTTGTTGGCGATTGTTGAAAGTGGCCAACGAATAATGTATATCTTATAATCCATGAAAATTTATCCTCAATTATTAAAATGAGAAAAGAATGCCATGTAATTTAACATTTCGTAACACATTAACCAACTATGACACTTGAGGGGAAGAAAATTAATTATTGGATTAAGATGGCAATTGATAATAAAGCAAACGAGTATTTGGTATCTTCTTTTGTTTTACAATTAATACATGTTTGTGTCCTAGTGGGCTTGTACTTACACGTGCAACCATTTGTTAATGAACTTTTGGCTAACAATTTCACCAAGTACATATTGATAATAAAATGCAATATTGACAACCATAAAAAATATCGTTGACAAGTTTTTGTTTTTAAGCATAGAAAATTAGTTTATAGCTAAACCAAGGTCTCTCTTAAAGTCCAATTATTGTATTACTATTAGTTATCAAGATTAAAAAAAAATTAGAACACATGTAGTCAAATGCTAACGTAAGATCGAGTAATAAGTACTAATACAATAGTGGATAATAGAAGATGAAGAACAATAACATATCTATGGTAATTTTACAAGTAAAGCTCAAAGTGGATGAAATATAGGTAGATTTTTGTTGTGAACCAAGCTACCTCTATAAGGGTCTATGAGTTAAAAGTGGTGAATGAGATTGGACCTAGTAAAATATTGGAATATTATTTGGAATTCAGGCCCAATTCGCAATTGGTTAAAAGGAGGAAGAGTAAATTTAACGTTTAACAAACATAAAAATCATATTTGTATGCTATAACTATAGTTTGTTTAATTGCGTTCGATAACAAATTTTATCTTTGCTATGGAGCATCAGATTTGTATAAATCGCATGCAGGCTTTCGTTTGTATAAAAGCGCAGCGATTGTATATGTATATCGGTTAGATAATTGTATATATGTAACTACTATGTATATGTATCAATGATTGTGTTTGTATATCTGCATAAAATTTGAATTTGTATACAATTGAATCGAAATAAAACATTTGTATATCAAATCTCTCTCTCTCTC